CGCGTATCTTGATACACCTCGTATCTGATACGCGTATCACGATCGATATTGGTAGTATAGACGTATTTTGATGCTGTATCTCGAAACTTTATCGCGATACGATATGTGATACACTGCTAACCATACTGTGTCGATTATTCCGTGATCATCAAAGGGGCAAATATGTCTGTTTTTCAGTGCACCTTCTCGTCTCGTACAGTTTAGTTTAGTTTAGTCATTCACATTAGTTTAACGAAGTCAACCTACGCGATTCAAATGCATTTGATAATCTACAGTGTGGTTCACGTATCTTATCGTGATACAGCATCAATATACGTCTATAGTACCGATGGTGATACGCGTATCAAATACACCGTGTATTTCATCAAGATATGCGATTAGTGCAGATCGGGCCGTATCAGATACGGCGTGTATCATGTTAGCTAGCGATCATGATACACAACGACACCACGAGATGCAGATACGGTACACCGAAATGCTACAAAGATGGACGAAGCTACGCGGACAAGCAGCGCGCGGCGACTTTGAGCGCGGCCTAGAGCCACGAAGCGGCGTAGTCCGGCCTCGTGGTCGCTTCGTAGCTTTTGTACATCCTGTTTGCCATAAAACTTTAGAACCTACGATTTTAAACTTCTAGTTAAATTCTAGTACTCTATACTGGTTACAGTTGTATGTCAATTATGTTTAAAAATAAAAACCGAGTTCAAACTCAAAAATATTAACAAAAATTAAAAAAAAAAACCGGTTCCCACAAAATCGGGCGGGTCCTACTTTAATTTGGAATTCAGGCGGGGTCAAAAGATTGAAACACGTATACGGATTACAAATGAAACTCAATTCCACGTTTAAATCAAATCATCAACAGCGTAATCGGTGCACATGCATAAGAAACCGACGAAATTGAGAAACTATTCCTTTTTGAAAAATTATATCGAAATATTCCTTACCCATCCGCCGTTCTGCGCTTTCCGTTAGTTTACCCGGGCGATAAGATAACATAAGGTAGGTAGAAACAATGTTAATTAATTTCACTTCGACCTGTTGGCGGTGAGCACGAACGAAGTTGTCACAAAGGGCAGGTTTCAATTAGCGCATGTCAAGGGTGTTGGTTGGTACTCTGTTTGTTACTTGAGCTTTCCGTGGTTAGGAACATAACACCGTAAGAACCGACTCCGAAAGAAGTTGCTAAAGAGAGTAAAATAAAAAAAAGGAAAATAATTGTTGAATAAAACAGTAAATTATATTTTTGACTCTAAAGAAATTATAGTACTAAATATTCTTATTCAAATAATTTTACTTACACTTTTCATACAAACAACATCCTTAATTGCTACTGAATTTGACGACCGGTTGTTGCGACAATACTTCTGTTTTCTTCTTCAAAGGTCCTAGGTTAACATCCTGAAAGGGGCATTTATTTATGTGGTAAGCAAAAATTGTTTCTGGTTCATGGCTATTAATATAAAAATATTATTTATGTATAGCATAATAGTTTTCACAGCTTGCTTTGGGTCTAAATAAATTGCTGTAGGTTGAGCAGAATTTAAAATGATTGCCTATAGTCATATGAAAGTATCACTACCGTCATAATAGTTTTTATATGTGTGTATTCCTTAGATTAAAACAAAAAGGAAAGAAACGGTACGCTCATACAAGCATCAAATAAAATATGCTCCGACTCAACTACATTAGCAACTGTCACATACGCACAAGTCTGTAAAGAAACATTCAATCGAGCGAGCGAAGCAGAACTGTACGCTTCAACACAGCGCGAGCGAAATGGCGAGTGCGCATGCGAAAAAAATGATTCTACAGTTTTACGAATGAAAAGTGTTGCCGAGGTATTTGTTGATTGATTTGATTTTGAACTATTTTTATTTATTATAAAAGCATCTAAGGCATTGTTTTATCTTTATAACACAGAATATACGCAATGTTGCTATATTGAGTGCACATGCAGCGTGTTTGAATGTCCAATTGTGACTAAAACGAATTGTGGTCATGCACCACAATTTAAGCGGATCACTTTTGAGCATCGAGTGCCGTATCTTCCCTTTTTGATTTAATCTAAGGTGTATTCTATTGATATATCTATATATATATATGGTTTATCTTACATTTGTTCTTATTGCACCGCCGTTCTTTTTTTTCACGCTCTTACTGGTCGACTGGTACAGAATTCTTTATAATGGCATTATGTCCTCTATTTGCTGTTATTTTTGCAATGAAGTAAAAATCAATAATAATAATGAAATCGTACTAATGCAGGACTCGTGTTTGAAGTGAAACGATATATTGGACTTTGAGTGGTTTGGAACGTTACTCCACAGGAACCGACGTGATTAGAAGTCGGATACGGAAAAGGAATTGTTGATTGTAAACGTAATTTATCGTTTCATGCTAAAGAATTTAACTGTGGTATACAATCATGATTCGTGTATGTACGTACATAACATGGGATTGGGGTTGCACAAAGTTAAAGTAATTAGACGGATATTGTGTTGGAGTTATGTGGAGTGCATATTTTAAGCCGCTAGAACAAGGAAACTGACTGCTTGCAAACATAGTTTTGATTTTATTTGTAAAGCTCATTTGCAGTACACCAAAGACCAACACACCAAAGAAGAGAGAGAGAAGAGAGAGAGAGGCGTTGCCAGAAAATCAGATATGTTTCACTTACCTAAATATTTTATGTTACAAACACATAGTAATTTCAAAAACTTTTGGAATCAGTCACAGTCGCTATCAAATTCTAATTAATTAAGTTGATATTTCTCTCGGCCGTTCCTTTTGTTAGCTAAAAGATGTCCTGAACGAGAATAGTAGAAAAAACGTCAAAGGACTATTCAAGAGAACTTTTAATAAGCAAAGCTGAATTGAAGTTTATTTCCAATTCAATACCTATTTTACTATTGTACCTTTGCCGTTTCAGATTGACAGCATTAAAGTCAATTATAATAGTTGTTTATACGACTGTGCTATAAAAAAGGGGTATTAAAACACGAGAGTCTGTTTACAATAAGTTCACTCGAGTGTTTTATTTATAATTTTACTAACTGTGCCACGCGGTGTTACCCGCGATTTATTAGGGATATTTTCCCGCAGTAAAACGTAGCCTATGTGTTAATTCAAGGTATCAGCTAACTAAATACCAAATTTTATTAAAATCGCTCCAGCCTTTTAAACGTGAAGAAGTAACAAATATACACACTCACAAACTTTCGCCTTTTAAATATAAGTGTAATGGAGGTGCGTTTATAAAGTACAGATATACCCCTAAATCTTAGTGCGCGAGGTTTCGAACAGATCTTTTCAAGGAAACTAACTAGCACGTCTTGCCTAATAGGAAAATGATGACGTAATGAGGTTCAAACGCCTTCCCGATGTGGTTAACATTGTGTACGCTCGTTGGATATCTCTTATTATGGAAATCGTATTAGACCTCAGAAACTATTCAGAGGTTCGACAAGTTAACGTTTAACGGCTAATTAACCATTGAAGCTATTGAGAAATGAGGTTGGTTGCAATCTGGCAAAATATCCTAATTACGATATTGAATTAACTCCCTTTCAAACTGTTATACACTGGATAGTAAATGAACCGGGACACTTGCTCCCTCGGAACTCAAGTTTGATTTTCTAAAAAGTATAAAACTTACAACTGTCAAAGTTATGCCTACAAAAAGTGCAATTCATGATGGTTAAAATAAACAGAAAACTATTGGGATCAATCAATTTATAAAGTTTTTTTTAAGAATATTCCGAAGAAGAGTCGTTTTCCGGTTGTGTTAATCGGTAGTAAAAATCGTAGCAAAAACACGTTTTAGAAAACGATGGACATAAACTAAAGAAATTTTAAGAAGTATCAGACTGTCCGAATTTGAAGAATAAGAAATACGATAAATAGCAATAATATGTTTCTTACTTGATTACAAAGTAAGTTGATAGTAATTTAGAACATTTTTTTTTGGCATTTTAATCATCACGGTATGCACTTCCAGTAGATATAGCTTTGATATTTGTAAGTTTTGTATCAGAATCAAATTAGATGTCTAATCTCTTTCTCCGAAGTTCAAACGAAATTTAATTTCGTCGATTTAAGGTTAAATTTAATTTGTACGATAAACTATCAAATTGAAGCTTTCTTTGAATAGGCTTAGGAAATCTACACCCCAATCTATATTCTGACGACGAATATTATTATAATTAAAAACGAACCAGAAACATAGTAACAAGTACATTGTACCACCTCTTTAATGGGTATTGTGTCCCATGAAAAAGTGAGAGAGTAAGAGACAATCGTTCCCTTTTCTACATATTAGTATCTTGTTTGTAAATATATATACCTGTTAATTGTTGCCTTCCAGTTTTACAATAAATATATTTAGTGATCCAACTGTATGTAATATAAAACAAAGTAAGATAAGTCATCGAAAGTGATTCTTCAGACATAAAATTAACAAGACTTATATTGAAATCTGCTCAAGTTTATAAGTACAAAAGTTTAATTAAGTCCAACTTTTCTTTTCAAGAAAAAACTACACGAGAATTCGTTGAATTACGTAAATTTGTACAACACGAATCCTTTTATATGTTCTGTCTGTTGATAACTTCTGCAGTATTCACTGTATTGTACTGTAGAATCTGTATGTAGAATGTATGACTGGTAAATACGGGGATTAGTTTTTAAGCTTCTGTATTTCTTGGAAATCACGTAATGTCGTAAACTCCCTACGATGCGTTGGTATTTATGCTTGTTTAAGAGAAAAGTATTGGTTGCAATAAAAGAATAATATATTTTACCTAACTTGTAAGCCAATACAATAATGTTTGAATATAAAATGCTTTAATTGGTGTGCATTTATTTTAGTCATAAACAATACGGTAGCAAAAAGGTTTTCCAAAAATAATTGATATCTCATTTATTAAATAACACGTAACTTTAAACCTTTACCAGACGTCAAAATCCGCAGATGTCCACAGATTCAATTAAAGAATAATGTGAAACACGAGACTTGCTGTAGGGATTCGTACTTACCATACATAATAATAAAATACTGTTTAAAGGAAGTATAATGCTATGAAGATTGATAAAGAGTGAAGGACTAAAATATCAACAATTTAATTTGATGCAAGCTTTGTAACAATAAAACTTGTAATTATGTATTTTTTTAAGTCGCAGTTCTGTTGTATAGAAGCAATAAATAATTGAATAATATCAAATAAAACAACCCTATCTATACGGATTTTCATTTCTTTAATTCACTATAATGCAATTAGACCTTAACAATACTTTACCCTGGTCAGGATATACTACGCGTTGGCACAGACGCGTCTTTTCGATGTCAAACATCTTTCCCATACAAACGCAACAAACATTATAACCACTTTATAGACTTTTCGGAATCTCACACGTTAGTTTTAATTGAATCTATTCTTATTTACACATATGGATGACAACACTGGTCGTATCATGAAGTTTTTATGCCATTTTACAGTTTTTCTTTTCACTACATCTTTTAAAAAAAGTTCTCATTCACTTTTATTTTTAAATAATAGCACTGGCCAGTAATAATAAGGTGGCTAAGCTGAAGCAGCTGGCCCACTGACCGCTGCCTTGCATTGCTGCTGGAGTTTCACCTGTGAACAAAACGTTTGATTAAAAAGTAGAACCACTGTAGTTAAAATTTTGGTGAAGAATCGTCTATTTCAATATACTGAGAAGATATGCAAAAACCTAACCTCTGATAAAATTTACTAAACACCACTAAAAAGTTAAAATAACAAACAATTGGTTCAAACTTATTCAAATAGTAATTTATTTCTACAAAATTTATTCCATTTAACGAACGTTAATTGGATAAAATTCAAGTTATATTTTAACCTAGAGAAAAGAATGAATTTTCGCTTTATTTTAGTAGCAGCAAAGTGAAGACCCACAGTTTTCCTTTGAGTTGAGATCTTTATCTAAATCAATTGACCTTTTATTTACTACCCAAACAGATGGGATTGTGGGTAAAAGCTATTACAAGATAAAGTTTTCACGTCCTTGTCTGTCTCTTTGTTGAAAGGGCTAATCTTGAAAATTTCGGAAAGCATTCTGCATAATTTATCACAAGTGATTTGGTTAGATGGAAAGGTAAGGCTTATCTTAGTTTATTATTGAATTAAGAATTAGAACTAAAAGTTTCCTTACTGAGTGGGAGTAGACATCTATGAATAAATAATATAATAATCAGGCTGAGGCAGAAGACAAGAATAACACGACTAAGTTAAAAGACACATAATACAAAGATCATAAAATGAATAAATAATTTGAAGTAAACGCTTTTCCTCTAAATTGGTAGTGAAACTGATCTTACTCTTCTATTTATTTCAATATCAAATTAAAATTCAGTAAAAGATCAAAACCTTTATGTCATCACAATTTTGATGATTTATGAAACAAATTGAACGTTATTAATAATAAAATATCCTTTTTCATAATCATTCTCTTCTTTGAATTATTTTGAAAGAAATCTCAGAAATATATTATTATATTATCTGGCAACACAGGTGCATTATTATTTACTTAAATTTTGAATAATAGCTACCGCAACATACAATGTTAATTGGCAAGGTTCCTCTTCACGCAAGCATTTCTCAGAATTGTTATGGTCTTGCACAATTCCACGAAGCTAAGGTTTAATTAAATTCATAACAATGCTCACTTGTTGATAACAAACACTTTGCGTTTCATGTATACTCATCAAATTTGTACTTACAGCAAGTATAAACAATCTGAATAAATAAATCTATAGAAAATATAACTATAAAAAAATCCACGCAGACCAGGCAGCAGACGGGACTCGAACCCGTCTGCTGCCTGGTCCGCGTGGATTTCTTCTAGTTATATTTTCTTTAGATTTAAAGATCAAACAGTTACATGCTTAAAAATAAAAATTATAAATAAATCTATGATAGTAAAAGTTATTCATAGCACAAATAGATCTTTTTTTTTGAGTGTGTATGCTGTTGGTCGCAGATGACCTTTATAGCGTCACCGGGTTTGGGGACGGCGAGGTCCTAAGGGGACCTCAAGCCGAGAATTGGCGAGTGCCTCTAGAGGTATTCCAGGCGGATGGCGTCTCCCCACGGGGGGAGTCTCCTCTCCGTCTGGAGCCTCTAGACCACTCGAACCTGAGGGGGTCGGCCCAACTAGAGGGTCTCTGAGTCTCGGACCTCGGCTCTAGTTAGCCGTTGTCGTGGGGAGTTAGCCGTTGTCGTGTAATCACACACATCACAATCAATCAACAAATAGATCGAGTCAAAAAAGTAAAAATCTTCGGAACAGTATGAAACCCATAGAAAAAGGAAAAAAGAAATAAAAAGTAAAAAAGCTAATTATGGGCGATTTGAGTTTATCGAAAATTTCGGGGAAAATATAACTTCTATCGAAAAAATCTATGGCAAAATTATAGGTCATCAAAGGATCTACAACTTTTGTTACACAACCTAAAAACATCTGCGAAAAATGAAAACAACCAACAATTAATATTTTTTTGTTATCTCTCACAAAAAAAAATAGTGAAAACTTACCTTTCTTATGTCTCAAACACGTTTTAATGTTGTCGGTTTAAAATATTTATTTTTTCCCCTTATATTTTTATTAGGTATATCGAAAAAGCAACCTAATTTTGTAATCAAAAAATCTCCCGTCTATTTTTTATGTGTCTTCTTCCTTTTGGTATTCGCTATGTGCGAAGTACATGGTGGGGGTATAGTGAAGCGATCGCAGCGCTTATCGTGGCAGAAATACGCAACAATCCGGGAAAGTAAAGTCAATTTGCACGGAGTTCGTTATAAACAAAAATTTTTTAAAATGCCTATTAATAGATGTTGTTGTGTTGTGAATTGCAAAAATAAGGGCACAAATAGTCTGTGTATATATTTCCTACATTGGACTGGAAATTAAATCAAAGAAATAAATGGATAGATGCCATAAAAAGAAATAAGTAAGCGAAATAACCTTAAATTATGATCAATTTTATTTGCGCTATATATTTTATGTGATATTCATTATTGTCTTTATTATTTTAGTGTTGATGGGTCGCCATGGTATCCCAAACCTGACGACACAATTTGTAGTGAACATTTTATGGGAAACAAAAAATCAGACGAGGAAGAAAATCCGAGTTATGCTCCTACGATATTCCCTGAAATATATCGAAAGAGGAAGGTTAATGATTCACAGGTCCTAGCTAGATAGATATACACGCTTGACAAAACGAAGAACCACAAAAGTCTCAGATACCACATCAAGTCAAATAATAATTGAAGAAGGGAGTGAATTAAATCAAACTCAACCTTTTATGATCGATCAAGGATGTCAAGTCAATATGTTTTCTGAATCTAAATTAAGAGATACAACTTTTATTTGTATTAGATTAATTTACAGTGATCACTGTGATCCAACATCAAGAATTTTAATGACAAATAATTCAAGAAAGAAAGATAAAAGCTGTGGCACTGACAAAAAATCGTATGAGGATCAATCTACCGAAACAAAAAGTCAAGAATTTGTTGGTATTTCATCAATAACAAATGATCAAGAACTCCTAGATCCTTCTGGTGTGTCATTTAGCAATTTTGAGTTTTTATTAACAAGATTAACTATGAGAAAATGTACAGTTTCCACTAAAGACCGACTTCTGATTTTTTTGATAAAAATGAAAACTGGCTTGACATTTTCAGCATTGAGTGTGTTATTTGGTGTACAAAAAAACCACAATCTCACGTATATTTCATTCGATCTTACAAAATCTAGCTTGTTCAACTGCTAATTTAATCTTTTGGCCGAATAGAGCCACCGTACAAGCACCAATGCCCAAGTGTTTCAGTCCAGATTACATCAATACAAGAGTTATTATTGACTGTACTGAATTCCGAATTGAAATCCGACATTATTTAAATTATTATACAATATATAATAATTTTTATTTATCTTTACCTTACTATATTTACTAGAAATCAATAAAATACAAACTGATGTCATTATTTGGCATAATCCCGGAAAGTTGCGCATTGTAGGTGGCGCTACTGTCGTGCACATAGCGAATAGGTTTCACCCTGATCCAATTTTTTTTGCTCTCAAAAATTATCGGCCCTGGTCTATAAAGTTATATTGATATTTTACTGTAGGGCAATATTTTAGTACGAGTACGTTTAAATACACTAGATGTCGTTAATTTTCAAATTGTGCCTAACGTAAGCGAAAACGCTAAAGAAAAGTACTCGTTCTAAAACAGGCACTAAAACAATAAAGCTACGACAAATGAATACACTGTAATTAATCTCACTCTCGAATATATAAATAAATAGATACTAAATAAGCCTTCATTTTAAAATAAAAATAAATTAAACTCCATAATGAGACAAACTTACCCACGCATAAAATTTATACGCCCTAAAATGTTGATTATATTATTTACTGAAAGCATAATTCTTAATGGGATCCGCAAATTCTAATTACAAGGGGCAATAAATAAAGAAAGGGACCATAGCCCTAATGACCACGATTCAAATGAATAAAATAACCGCACTGAATAATTAGCGCATGGGCATAATGGAAGGCGGCAGGCGTGAAAATCGTACTACCATCTTTACGAGCTGTTGTCACGAAGGGAGTTTAAATTTTGAATTATATTACAAGTGAGTAGTTTCAAGTGTAAAATGTGATTACCTACGTAAATGATTTGTAAGTACCATTATGACATACTTTTACGAAAGATTCATTTTGTCAAAACATTGAAAAAAATTATATGCATTTTTATACAATAAAATTCTTAGTTGGATAAGTATCACTTTCTGAATCCAATGCAAATACTTTAAAATCTTTTTTAAAAATTGAAAAAGAGACCTCTGTGGCCGAGTGGTATGTACGTGGTTTCGTGGTGTCGCCAACTCGAGAGGTCCCAGGTTTGAATCCCGGTGGGCGCAGCTGTTTGTGTGATGCATACGAGCATTTGTATTCCATTCATGGATGTTTAATATGTATTTCTACATAAATATACTTATATATGTATCAGTATATGTATTCTTCTATCTGTTACCTTAGTATCTCATACCACAAGCCTACAGTGCTTATTTTGGGGCTAAGCTAACTTTTGCGAGTGTTGGAATATTACATTATATATTAATATGGATTCGTGCAACTGAACAGAAAATAATGTTATTATAATTACGTAGACAACCCTTTCTGACGTCATACGAGCTATATCTATTACTGAGGTCAAGTCATTCTTAAAATCCTTTTTAAGATTCTTGCTGGCATACTGCAACTTCCTCTTCATTTAGTTATCCTTTACCGCAAAGGTTGTCTGGAAGAGATCGCTTAAAGCGATAAGGCCGCCTTTGCCCACATTATGTTATTGTTTCCTTATTTTTGTATTCTTTTGTGTGTGTGCAATAAAGAATTTATCTATCTATCTATCTAAGATTTATCTTCCACAGTAGCATAAATTATTGCTTTTGCCCAGGAATAAAACTATTGAAAATTATTTATTCAGTCTAGGCTGTTATAAGCTCTTGTGAAAGTCAAATGGTATGCCGCCAGTTTGTAAATCTACATCGGGAGACCTTGTTCTAAAAAACCGGCAAGAAACTCAGCAAGGGCTATTTTTTCTATGTTATGGCATTATTTCAAAAATCCTAAAATGATTGTACGTCCGTCCGTGTTGCTCTACGGTTTGTACTTTACAGGCTGTAACACAAAATATGTAACGATCCTGTTTAAAACCATTTTTTTTTCTATACAAACTTTCTCGACTGATTCCTACTTGATATTTATCACTAATGAATTGATTTTCATACATAAAAAATAATCTTACTCTATGCTTCTATGTCTTCCTTTTATCGATAACTTTTGTTTCAAATAAACTAAAAGCCCTTAAAAATGCCAAAATTAAACAAATTTTTATCACTACTAAAGACGTGTGTGGGGATTTAATAAAAAATAAAAAAAATCAAAACATACAGGCATATAATAACTACTTATTATTCTATAGGTTTTCTTTGACATATGTTTTATTTTGGAAAAGCAATTCGTCGAGAGGCAAACCTCGAATTTTGTAATTTTTATACGCAATTTTCAGCGTTAACTACTGTTGTCCCCATCGCACAGTATTTGCCAATGCGCCACAGCGATAGTTTTTTCAAATACCTATTTCTCAAATGTTAAGCACGTTTTTAAAATTCGACTTACTTTTTGAGGTAAGGCAATAAATATGCCTTAAAATTTGTGCGTAACCACAAAGCGTTCAGAGCTACATTGAAAGCATAAATTAACTCACTGTTTAACAGACGAACAGCAGTTACAAACTTTGCTGTTTAAAATATTCTATTTTGTACGGAGCAGTAGAGCAAACTGGGGTAATCAAGCTGAAAAAAATCAGTTAAGATGAAATTGATGATGTACCGTCAGCCACGTATCAAGTTAACAGTAGCAGTATCATCCACCTTACAAAAGACACAGTAAAATAACACTACGTTTTCAGTTAACAAGTTCCAGGGCTCCACGGGGTAGAGGATTAGATCAGGGTAGGCATCTTCGCGAGTGATATTTTGGTAGGCGGGCCGTAAAATATGCTTATTTGCTACCCTTTTAATATTAAAAGGCACTCAATACTGCGTAGCACGACACGCGCTTGGTCGGTTTTTATATAAAAACCGACCAAGTGCGTGTCGTGCTACGCAGTATAGGTTTCCGCAGAAATTTTATTGTGATTTTATTTTTCTTGTAAATCTAAGGAATGTTTCTTAAGTAAGTTTTTTTTTCATTACATAAGTTGAATGACAATTACTGTTAAAGGAGGGAATCTATCGTAACTGTTATAATTTTCCTCAAAAGTTTATGAAGAGCCCTAGTATTGTTTATTTTTTCAGATTTTTCATGCTAGTAGCTTAGCTTTTAGACAGGGAGGGGGGACGCCCTAGTTAAATATTTTGCAAATGGATCCCTAAATTGAAAAATTGTCTTAGCAACACCATAGTTATTTTAAAGAACCTATTCACCGATTCCCCCCGCCCGATGGGATAAACGATGAAATTAAAATTCTTCCCCACTTTACTTGTACGATAACTACATATATAAAAAATCTACCACTTTGTCGGCGTGATTGATAAACATAAGTATCTTTAGTGCCAACAGTCTCCAAACAAAACCACGGACGGACAGACAGTCTCCCCAAAAAAAAACAACAAAATTTAAAATTTCCTTAATATATTGGGTTATCCTAAATCCATTAAAATGAAGCTCAAAATCAGTTGAGGAAATTAGACAGTCTGAGGTAACAACCTGTGGCTATCTGTACAAACGACTTAACTGAATCTAAGTAGCATCAAAACGTTAATCGAGATTGACGTAAACTTTGTGACCCAATCTACCTAGAATCTTAGTAATTGAGCGTTTTGTAAAGTAGAAACATTTAAATGCCTTGTAGTAATATGGTAAAGCAATGGCCAGATTACATTTGGTCGTTAGCCCGAATACGAGTGCCAAACGACTAAGGAAACAACTAAGTGCAAATGAACGAAGTCGAGTATTCGAGTAGTTTTCGTTATATAAAACTAGTTTTATTTAATGAGCGATGTGCGTGAAAACCTAAGAAACAAATAAGTTTTCGTTATGGTTACCCGACAACATCTTCCACCCAGCATTGCAATGTAAATATTGCTTCGGGTGCCCGAATTCGATTAATGTCTTACCTGCACCCGAATACGGGCAAGTGTAATTATGCCATAAAAGATGGTCCGACGGTCGGGTAGTCCAAGAGGCATTTCACATCAAAATCTAACAGTAAGCGTAACACTGATAGGGACTGCATATGTTTAATGGAGAATTACGCCCCTCGGCAATGAGAAAAACGACGCGAGAAGAAGAATTATTGAAATAACTTCGACGAAAAATCGCGTGACGTCACGTGACAGCCGACGACTGCTGTCATATGTTGATTGCGCTGTCATCGTTACGAGTTACGGCGCCAAGGTATTTATATTATAAAGGCATGTAACTTCCTTGTACGGCGCATCTACATGGTCGATTGGATGGATAACTACGAATTGTATATCGTTCCCGGCAATATTGGAAATTTATGGGGAATATTCTCAAAGCTTCCCAATATTTCCGGCAGGAATATCAGTAAATTCTGAATGAGGAAAATTTAAGGAATTTTGTGTTTTTTATCTGGTCATCACCAGTTGTTAATCACGTTTCTTCATTATAATAATCCGTCTACAAATTAGGCCATCCTTGACCATACCATAAACAATAAATTAGGAACAGTCCCAGTACAAACCCTTTGATCTGCATAAAAAACCTGATACCGTGAAGAACTGTATCCAATATTCTGGCCAAGGCATCAATAGTTACTAAACCAAATTTAACACTGGTTGTGGTCGCAAATAAAGCCTAATCTGTAGAGAGGATATTGCGCACAATGGAATATCATCACCATATTCATGTCCTCACCGCTGGGGCACAGGCCTTCCCTGTGGAAGGTACAGGGCGATGGCGCAGTACCCCATCACGCGGGCCTAGGGTGGGTTGGTGGGTACTAACGACTGTAGATGCAGCTGAATCAATGGCCTACCGTACCTTCAGAAAAATGGAGAAGCTCAAAATAATAAGTTTTTGGCCACCCATCCAATGACCAACCATTGCAAAAGTTGCTCTACTTCCTCGATCGCAAACCGAACGCGCTCAACACTTCTGTCATTAGGCTCCTATTCTACAATCCGTATCCGGGGTCAATGTTCCGGTCAAAGCTCCAATAGTTTACAAACCATCCTCTAAATTGATTTCGGTCGCCTAGAAAGCACAATATGTTGATAGGCTATTACTTGCACTGGAATAGGCAAGATTACTAAAAATCCTTACCCGTAAGAACATGGACGCGCGCAGACGCCAACTGCGCATTGTCCGGTACGCATTGGTATGCGCCCGCATCCGCAGTCCGCGCCGATTGCACCAGAAGCCTGCTACTGCTGTGGATACCCTTCTCAGTCACCAAGGATATCCCGCCGCGCGTAGAGTCGAAGTTTATTGTCTGGAGAACAACCAATAATTTTTTAACCATTCCTTAAAAGGAACCTTTTGGAGCAAATTTCACAAATGGTTTTTGTTAAGTCAAGTGGGGTCAAATCGGTTGTTTTTATTCAGAATAGTAAAATACACATCATATTACTCAGCATTTACTGTCCCACTGTCCGTGCGTCAGTCCATCAGTAGGCCGTATCACATAAACCGTAAAAGGTCTTTCAATATACTTATTTATATATTCACTTCGCATCGATTTACTAAATTATACTTTTCGGTAGGTTTGTTCAAAGTAAAGGCAATTCAGTAAAACCCCTTAAATCTCTAGTCCGTTTAAATGCTGTGAGAAAATTCCGGTAGGAAATACAAAGAAATATATCAAGAGAACCGAAACAATGAACAGTATAGTCGTCAAGCTCGTATGGAGAACGGATGAATAATTCTCGGCGTATAGTTGATACGCTAAAAGCTCGACGTGGCTCTACGGGACTGTGGCGTCATCGCAGTATTCACACCTTACGACGTGAGTTATGCGACGTCATGAACTAGCAGAGTGTGAATGTTTGAGCTCAGTGTTCAGGTAACAGCGACTAGCTTACGTAATGCATAGCTCGTGACTCGGGAGCTAATAGAAATTCCTCACCGACCCCGTAATATTGCGTGCGATATTATACACCGGTCTATTTACTTCGAGAAGTCTATAACTGCATTGCTCAATTTAATAGAGGTAAAACAGATTTTCACTCGAATTCCAGCGCTATCTTACTTAGAAAGCCTGAAGTGAAATAAAACTAGCTTTTGGTGGCTTTGTCTGTCGATGAGTAAGGTTTCAGGTCTTCACGACATATGGGGTCGGGGTAGATAACACGCGAGTGATACACTGAGAGCGCAAAAACCTAAAGCCTATGGTGACCACTTACCATTAGGCGAGCCAGGAGCTTCTTTCCAATCTTTTTTACATAAAAAAGTTTAAAGTCGCAAATCAAATTTGGAAGCGAATTTTTGGAGCGAAGCTTGAGCAATAGCATTTGATTGTCGCCCTTCCAGCACGGAACTATAAAAAACAGTACTAGTTTTGCCGAAGTATTTGTTAGTAGGTAGTATTTGCACACGAATACTGGTCACGTGTATATTGACATCAAACACAATCAGCAAACACTTCCGAAACTCATTGCAGTCTTCACTTTGTGCCGTCGGCTGGCGCTGGCGTTATACGTTTTGAACTATTTGCCTGCTCTCCACGATACCGACTTGTCGACGCAGCAATACCGGGATTGGGCGGAATAGAATATTTAATGTGACTCCCCCGGGCGAAGTGAAATAGAGCTTGGTTTCACACTGGAAAATCGGGCTTAGTCGGCTTCAACAGCTCTTTAATAAAGGAAAGAATTCGCAGATTAAAGACATAAAATAAAAGGCATCGATTTACAGTCTCCGTTGTGTTAAGCGCATTTCGTGTATCTCAAAACAAGTCAAGTCGAGAAAAACGCGATTGAATATATTAAGCTATTTTTTTTCCAACACTCACACCAATAAGCCTAACCGCAAAGTAAGCACTGTAAGGCTTGTGTTATGGGATACTAAGGGTAACGGATAGAATACGTATACTGTATATATATAAGTATATAGTGTTTAAAAAATCTTACGTAATGCGGGGTACCAGGGTGCTTTATTACAATATAATTTAATGAATAAAGGGTAGCATTCAAAAGAAACTTTCCTATGCAAGGTAGTTTTCAACCGTTTCGTGCAACAGAAGAGTTCCTACCTTGTATTTCAAATGTTTCGAATTTCGGTATGTAAATTTTTATTTATGTGTTTGAGCAGCAATATTTATTCCTGAGTGAGTCTCTCGTCTGGCTTCATGATTGTCAGACAAGAGACTCACGTGTATTCTAAACATTATTTCATTTTCATTGGTATTTGAGCAAATTGTCCGGAATTTATATTTATAATATTAGTTAGCAATCTCTGCACCAATATACTAATGTCGGCTTATTGTTCTATTAAGAACAAAAACCGGTTAATTGCGTGTCATGCCACGCGTAGTGTAGGGTTCTGTAGTTGCCTGTAGTAACCATAATATATTTAATATTATCTATATCGGAAATAAAAAAAAAACAATGAATATCAATCTATGTATCTCGAATAAAATATCTAAATCAAAGTCTAACTGCGTCTCAAACACAAAATCAATTCGATATTATTATTTTTTCAATACGAATTATAACCGGTGTTTTTTTTTTTTATTTCCACACAGGGGCGGGGGAGCAGGTGTGAAATCCCCATAGTTACGCTACAGCCGGCTGCAAGGTTATGATTATGACAGACTCTTACTGACTAAAGCTTCATCTGAAGCGATCATCCCCTGAGAAGGGGATGAAGCGGTATAACCGCCGATCTTTTCAAGTGCTTATATACTTTTTATAAAAACGTAACGTTAACGCGACTCAGAAGCCATCGCTGTTGGTACTCGTGGTAGCATTGTGGAACTAATTATGTTATATTGTGGTTTTTAAATTGTTTTTCTTTTGCAATGCAAGGTTTTACGCTACAATAACTTCATCTACGTCACTATTAATGTTTTCTTCTGAAGAATTTTCAATGGGAAAGAAATTTTATTGAAACCAAAGTTGAACGATTATTACTCTCAATCTACAAATCTATCTTAACCGTTATAGATTTCCTTGTAAGTTTATGAAAAGCACTATATCATGAATTTTGCCAGGATTTTCAAGCCCATAGTTAACCTTTTAGAGAGGGGAGGATATACTCGAACCAATATTATCACTTTATAGTGCAATATTTCGCAAACGGATTCCTTAATCGATATTTATCTTTATAGATATAATTCTTCTGTGAGTGTGTATGTCACTGAACTTCTCTTAAACGACTGGAAAGATTTTGATGAAATTTTTTGTGTGTGTTCAAGGGGATCTGAGAATGGTTTAGATTCACAATTTTGTCCGCTGGACAACCTCTATTTTTTAGGGCGGTACGAAGTTCGCTGGGTCAGCTAGTATTATATAAAAACCCTAAGTAATTTTTAAGGACCTATTCAACGATATCCCACAGGATGGGGTCAATGATGAAATAATAATGGTCCCCAGGTTACATGCAGGGGAGCAAAACTAAAAAAAAAAAAACTAAATTTTATTCTACCACTTTGTCGGCGTGATTGTTATACATATCTACACAAGATTATAGCTCTCTAGTGCTAATAGTCTCCAAGCAATCGGGGACGGACAGACGGACATGACGAAACTTTAGCGGTTCCTTATAAGGACTACGAAACCCTAAAAATGGAATGAGAAAACAATTAAAAAGAAAACTCTCACTTATTCTTGACGAGGGTGCCTATTGTAGTGTACTACAAAGTTAACCTTTAATAGGCTTATATTGTCACCTATCTTTGGAATTAAATAAAAGTATCAACTGCCTTCGCCAACACGAAAATGTTCAAATGTTTGTTTTAGAATTCTGGATTAAAATGGAAATTAGGACCGAGTGTAACTTTTTCTAGTATTTTTTTCTTAATATTACTTTGTCATATTTATTTTTATCCTATTTATAACGTTTCCGATAGTAGCATATTAGTGTCGATTCTGGCATAAATTCTCAACCTAAACTTGACAACAGTGTATGCCTGTCATTCTCTAAACAGAATAAAAAGGAGAGACTGATATTAAATTTAGTTTTAAGATTAGAGAATCGTGTCAGAATCGACACCTTTGTTAAGATTAAGTTACATAAAAAATGCGCAAGGAAATAAACAAAAAACCTATTATCATGATAAATTAAATTATTGCAAGGAACAAACTTAAGCGAATCAATAGGAAACTGTCTTGAATGCATATTTGCAAACATACCTATATCAAACACTAGCATCTACCGCTGGTTGGGCCTCATACCAAAGCACATATGAATTTTTCAACGGGTTGGATCAAAGAATCTGGCAAAGTTGATATGAAAACTACAATAGCCGGTATTATACCTAGTCGAGCAACTTTTGCTTCGGATGAAAACGGATGAATGATGAAACCACTGGCTTTTGTTTCCAGGCCCCTTTGTACCTTGAAAGCACTTCCGTAAAACTATTAGTGTCAGCCACTATCCATGGAGGCTTTCGATAAAGCTAAAATGATGGATACAATAAATCTGTCAGTGTATCCACTTGTTACGAATGCTATCAGTTGAATTTGCTTAATTATTTTCATCAATCAAGGTATGTCAGAAATATTGCACTGTCGAATATTCATGTAACTGAGAAGGTTCGTTATCCAGGTAACATTTATCATGTTTTCTCACGATGCGCATTTCCTCATTATTTGCTCCAGAGTCAATTATAAAAACAATAAATTGTTATAAACTGAGGTTTTTTGTATTAAAAGAATCCACAAACGGAAGTTTCATATTTATTACTATTACTACTAGCGGCCGCCCGCGACTTGGTCTATGTGAATTTTAGTTTTCTGAAAGATCCTCAGTAACCTACCAATTTTCCGTAATAAAAAGACTCGTATGTCTCTTTTCAAATTATAAAGTCTGTGTAAGATTTTTCCGTCACAATCTAGCGAGACTGCTAGCTGGGCAGCTGGGTGGCTAAATGGGTACCCCTGACGGCGGTGGCGGTGGACATGGTTTAAAGTTTTGTTTCATAGTTTGACGGAATCGTTCAATTGGGTCATGGCCTACAATGTAGGCTCAGTGCGGATTGGTGGGAGGATACTTTTTTATGAAATAGACAGATTGGGCCATGACATGACCTACCACACGGTGTGAATTGGTGGGTTGGATACTTTGTTTTTGATGGATTAGGGAGGTTGGGCCTTGACAAATATTTTTAACATCGTTCCAACCGAGGTAAAAACGTCAAATATTCAAATTCATACAATTAGTAAACACAAACAATATGGCTGCTGTGTTGCTAAAGACATTAAGAAACGGCTATTTTGAAGGAAATAATAAAAGCAAATAAAAGAGTGGTATAACAGGCCTCCTCGAACGAATAATGTTAAACTGGGCAGCTTAAATTAAAAAATAAACTATAATGTGATTAAAATTATATATAAGTTCGACATTTATATTTCCATTTCCTAATTAATACCCTGACGCTTTATTACAAAACAATCCTACAAAAGTTATTTAGTTTGGAGTTTGCAATATTGAAAATATAAAAAGAAGAGCGTGCTACTGCGTATTACATTATCTGTTAAGATAGTAAAATAATAAAATTTTGAAACTGGATTCTAAAATAAGTCTGTATTAAAGCATAATTTTATACAATATTAATTATTATTTGTGAAAATATGTGGTAAATGAATACTTCTGGTAAGCAGTGAAACTGAATTCTTGAATATGAATAAGAGTGTTTGAAATCCTGAATATTGTATAGAATATTCTATAATGAGGTCTTAAGTACTTAGAAGAGGAAATATCTACTGCGGCAAGCATTTCTGCTAGCATCCACAGAAAGCAATCTGTACAGTGGTACAGATGCTTTCAACTATTAATACGCTCTTAACACCTAATAGCCTCATCTTGATTGTAACCAGTACGAACTGAATGCATTTAAAGACGCCTTTCCTGGAAACTAATGAATGTACGAAAGCTATTACTGATAAATTTCAACAGGTTCAATCAAACTAAGAAGATTTGGTTTTAACTCCATGAACACTTTTATAAGTTTTACCTACATGATGTTCTATTCATTGATACATATTTGTATTGAAAAAGTCATACCCATTCTAAGTACATCTTGCTCATGAAAGAGTACGTGATTTGGCATACTAAAGATTTAGTATGCTTGCCTATTTTTGAATCACTGTTTTACCACACGATCCAAATATGGCGCCGTGTGTATATTTTACGGTTTTTTTTTTATTTCGGGCGAATCTCCTTGGAAACGATTTTAATCTTTACCTTTGATTCAATTTCATACTAAAAGAAAAAGAGAAGACAGATGTAATTCTAATTTTCACCAACCGTACGTGGCGCTATTTGGAAATGCGCATGGTGTGCATTATTCATTAGAAAAAGTTACTAACCTGTAACATAATTAAGTAATGAAGCAAACTTTTTTTTTCACGCAAATGTGTTAAAGAACGTTTTATGAATTTGATGACATTGTATTCGTGTAGAATTATTATTTTAAAACTCGTGACTTTAGTAAGCCCTTGACTTCGCCTCGGCCTTACATTCGTCTACTCGTTTGTAATTACCAACTTATCGAACTAATATCATAAATAAGTATTTCAACCAACTATCGTAAATAAAAATATTAGAATTTCAAAGTAAATAATTTAATTCCCTGTCTTTATTGTCGTGTAACGATAGCTTTAAAGTTTTCGTTTTCTTATCCAAGAAATCCAAAAAAGAGATTTTGGTTACTTTTATAAAATAAAGTTCGCAAATTTGGTGTAACCTTTCAAAGTATCTCATTAATCGCTACATGTACCGTCGGCTTAAAAGTCTTAGAGGCTTTTTTTAGTTAACTACCTTTATTTTCACCATCGCAAATTGAAACAAAACCATTTAAGTATATAAATATTGGTTAACATAGATACAATAACGTCGAATAAGATAGATACGTAAGCAATAGATCTATTGATTAGAGTCTGTACTTTTGTGTTATATTAAGCAAAATTGATTTCATTTTGTATTGTCAAGCTACTGTAATTAAAAGAGCGCAAAGCTCACCAGAATAAAATCATGTGTGACGAAATTGTACCCCTTCATCATCATCATCATCAGCCTATTAATATCCCCACTGCTGGAGCACAGGCCTTCCCTATGAATGGAATAGGCAGATTGGGCTATGACCCACCACGCGGGCCCAGTGCGAATTGGCGGGTGCTAACGACTGCAGATGCAGCCTGCATCAACGGCTTAACGTGCCTTACGAAGCACGATTTCTGGTCACCCATTGTACCCCTTAGAAAGTTTTGAAAAAAATCCGCGACAGCACAAAGATGACCCACTATAACCTTTTTTCCCCAAATTACTAGTTATTCAGTCTGCAAAATCTAAAGGGAATAATATATGCCGTTAAGCTATTCTATGTAATTACGTAAAAGCAAGTACCACTAATATAATGAAAAAAGCGCATACAATCAACATTAACAATATCTCAGTGGTTTTCGTTATTTACGTATTCTCAGTTCCATAGAAATCGTAATAAGTACCTTCCACCGCAGATCTCCGTCCTGAGTATGTACGTGCGAAACATATAACAAGAACATGAAAAGTTCGCAGAATCACATACCACGAGTATGTCGAGAGCTGTGACGTAAGTATAATATATTTGCCTTCAATCGTGTGTCAATATATTTGAAAGGAAAAGACAGCCGTATTATCTATATTGATTTGTTGCCGTCACCATTTTCGAAATAGCTTTTCCTGTTTGTTGTAAGTTGGTACGTAACATAACTAAGCATCATTGGGGGATTACGGTAATGCAATGGAATGGTTCCCGAGAGAGGCACCTGCCATTCGATTCCACTGTCATCGAGTACGTAGCTTTGCACATTATGTTCTCGACACAAACAATCTAACAACATACTTTGAACGTCTCCATTAGAGGTTACTATCACTCAAAGAGAAACTTACAGTAAAGTGATATTGACTGTTGATGTATTTGTAGTACGCAGTTTTGTTTGGTTTTGCTCTAAATGACAGCAGATTTTTGCCGGTAAAGTTACTCACTTGAAATGGGCTCGGACGTTGTGTACTCTGCAGGACTGTTAGAACATCGCCGCAAGTAGAACTACCAACATCTTGGGAATCAGAAATTGCCATGGAATTTTTAATATTGAGGATAATAAAGACAGTGATACGAATAATTTATTCAAACAACGATCTTAAATTTAATAATGTAAACCACAATAAAACGACAAAGGGCACAATGTTCAAACAATCCCTTTTTCTCTCCATGACCGTTTTAATTTACTTCAACGATAATTTTACCTGTTGTCTGGTATTGGTATTACTTTAATTACCTACTACAATTGATTCCTTACTCACCTTGCCTCTGTGCGTCCAATTAATTGTACTAGGTGGCTCTGGCGTGTGCCGTACGATGCATGTCAGGTTGATTGTAGAGCCAGCGTAGATGAATAAGTCAGGACCACCCATTATCTCTGTCTCCGGTTCTGTGAATAATAATTCATGATTATAAATCTGGTTTATTAAAAATTTGGTTTAGTTAAGGGTGAGGCCAAACGAGCGTAATTTTGTGAGTGGTGAGTCGCAGAATTTCGGTCGCAGAAATTCTGCTGCATTCGGTTTCATACAAAAAGGCAGTTGATGCCACACGACAACGCATCTGGATTTGCACATAAACGTTCATATAAAGTATGGAACTGTCCACATATCAGCCTCTGACTATTCAGTGGGTTTACCCAGTTTCTTTTTCTGGCCTCATCTTCTGAATATGCTTCGTAAATACACAATATTTTTAATGGATCCATTGCACTCGACGACACGAACACCCCGTACTAACGCTCAATAGTAACTGAATAAATTACGTTCGTATGGCAGCTCAACAGAAATTCAGTTGAACGTAAAATAAGTGACCGAAAATAAGCGACTCACAACTCACAAAATTACGCTCGTTTGGCTTCACCCTAATACTTATATTACTAAGAGGAAAGATTTGATTGTTTGTTTGTTTGTATAGAATAGGCTCCGAAACTACTGAACCGATTTGAAAAATTCTTTCACACTTCCCACATTATCTCTGATGATCATAGGCTATAGAATAGATTGAAGAAAGTTAGGGATCCGTATGAAAACTTCGAAAAAGTAACCCAATATGTGAAAAAAATACCAATATAAAACCATATAGCGCGTATATGTACTATTTTTGCACAACTTTTATGGAGACGGCTATTTTCAATTAAAGCTATCTAAGATATAACTTGAGATAACTTTTTTTTAATTTTCTCTTACTTCTAGATCAGTAAAAATCAAAATACCAAAAGATAATATTGAATCTGTATATCGTGATCAGTATAGTAAAACTTAGACTCTGACATGCAATATTGTTAAATAAAAGAAACGCTACCAAACTAAATTATAATTTTACTTCATGTAATATGTACCTAGTCAGGTCATAAATTCTGTCACATGTTTAATATAAAATAATTGACTAACAAGTTTATTCATTATGTAAACATTTATATACCAATATGAACTTAACAAAACATAGATTTCTATGACGATAAAGTTTATACAGGCCTTCAATCTGCGCGGCCAGTCGTCTATCGCAGCACGAACGAGGTCCATGTCAAAATCGGCGGCTGTCTTAATCAAGGATATCTTGCGTGACAATTGGGATGAAGCTTTGAGCACGCCTTTTCCTCCAAGTGTTGCCATATCTTGTAATCTAACGGACTCAAATATGGACTGGAGGAGGGCCAGTCTTCGTGCCGGATGCAGTCGATTTCACAGTGGATTTTCAGTCTTGTGTGCTCTACGCTCTATGTGCTGGCGCCTCTTGTTGAAATACCCAGTGCCTGTTATTGAACATGGTATGAGAAACAGGTTCCACAAGGTTCGTCAGAACTGTATTTTGGTACACAACTGCATTCTTTTTTACACCTTTCTCACAAAAATGTACCTCAGTTAAGCCCCAATAAGAAACTCCCAACCATACCGTGAGCGAGGATGGAAAATGACCTCGTTGGACACGCGGAATACGGTTGCTCGCTTCTTCACTACTGTGTGCGTACACCTTATCATTTTGTTTGTTGTAGCTCTCTTCTACGGTAAAAATTTATTCATCCGAAAAAAGAATTTCCCGATATTTTTTTCCCGCGTACCGCTTCAACAAAGCGCGGCATCTCTTCAGTCTCAGGTCCATTAGACGAGCAATTAAACGATGTTCTGTTTTTCTGCGATATGCCCGAAGCCCTAAGTCTTCATTTTCACCGTGGTTCTGCTTAACCCCATCTGAAGGGCCAACAGTTTCTGCTTACGTTTGGGATTTCTTTGAATTCGCGCCTTCACAGCTTTTATCACTGCTGGAGTCCTAACAGACCGAGGGCGACCACTTCTTGACCTGTCATCTACACTAGAGTCCTTATTGTATCGTTTGATGGTACGATAAACGAATCTTTTGGTTATATTCAAAATTTTCAGTATGTCAAAAATTTGAATTAGCGCATAACCGCGACGATGCAACGCAATAACTGCAACACGGTCTTCTTTAAGCGTCCACTCCATATTTAAAAATGAGTAAAATTCTAAAAAGTTTTTATTTTTATTTTCATGAACAATACGAAATTCGAATTCAATAAACTTTTTTGTGGCCAGCATTCTAAAAGAAAAGTTGTTACTTTGTGACAATACTTATGACCTGACTGTGTATATACCTAACTATATATTAATAGTATTATATTATATCTATCATTAGGAAATGTGTGTTAGAATCAATTTCTCGTTCCATCACATCGTCCCAAACGAACAAGAGTTTTGGAACATAAGTAAAGGCAAACAAGCAGAAACTTACTATCAAATTAGCTCACATACAATAGGATGTGGGGTAAACACGCTAAGTACAAAGTCTGTTTGCTGGTGACATTGTGAGCTGGAGGCTGCAAACAATAGTTGTGGATGGAGTCCTATTTAACTTCGACCCCCCAAATGTTCACAGTGTTCTCCGAAGAGGATTTTCTTGTTGTTGTTATAGGATATAATGACGGCGATATAACGGCTTGACACTTTTTGCTCCGTACACTGGAGTTGCCTTCTCGTTTCTTTGTCCTTGTCCCGTGTCTAGTGCAACTATTGAGTAATAAATTAGTTTAGTGTGCGATAAATTTAGTTTTGTTTTTTGTAGTTCATTTGTTTGTTTGTTTTTTCACTCTGCTATTTTAGAATATGCTTGTCGATTGAGCGTTATGATATTCCATACTGGATCTAGGATCAAGGATAAGCCTCTAAGATGGTCAATCATAGATGAAAAAAAAAAAAATTCCAACACATACCAATTAGCCTAGCCACAAGGCTTGTGTTATGGGATACTAGGGTAACGGATAGAATACATATACTGATACATATATAAGTATTTTTCTATAGAAATACATATTAAATATCCATAACTGGAGTACAAATGCTCGGATTCATCACACAAACATCTGCCCCCATCGGGATTCCAATCCGGGACCTCTCGAGAAGGCGACACCTTGAAACCCGGCGTACAAACCACTCGATCACGGAGGTCGTAATTTTCAGATTGTTTAGTAATTTTCTAATGTAAATGTGTCTAGAGTTAAGTAATGTTGATCAAAGATTCAATCAGTTTCTAATAATTTTAATTCTTCCATAAGTTATTCCTATTATTATTTTGACTTGTTTAGACATTTTATTAAACTAGCGTATCTTTTGTTTGTAACTGAACCTGATGATGCAAACATAAATTTACGGTCAAATAATATATAGGAGATAGAATGCCATTCAATAATACTGTATCACTACTGAACATTGTTTGAATAGCAAACAACAGAACACAAATCATTGTATAGTAAAGCAATAAATTTGCATAATCAACCTACACTGCAAACATTGCATCATCCTTTTAGGCTTACCTAAATTGTTATAAAGAATGATTGTGACTGCGAGTACAGTAACGTTTCAAAACATTTTGATCAAACTTGCATTTATAGTATGTAATTTATAATAGAATAATATTGTTGGCTATTTTGAGGCTTTTGGGCCAGACCCTGGCTAGCAGCCTTGGCGATGTCAAGGCTGATAGCCAGAGACTCTCCCGGCTTGTCTATAGCTTCACCCCAGATGTGTGTCACGTACGCTAGAAGGTCACCAGTATCAGTCAGTATATAAAAAAATGGGTGCACGGACCACACATCTGAAGTGAAACTTCTTTTCTTTTATAACCTAACATTAGACGGTGCATAAGGCATAGAGGAATGGAGCAGCTCACACATCATTCATATACATATACAGAGCATCCCATGGCTACCTCACACGGAGGGAAAGTATATTAAATATTGAAAATAGGATATTTTACTGAAAGAAGACATCATTTAATTATTAATAATAACTAGAACTGCATTTACAGATTTTTTTAAAATCGCCCGCTGCAACTGGGAATCAAACTCGTGAAATTTCGAAAAAAACCGTATATTTTATGATAACCATCGAAAGGGTTAATCATAAGGATTATTTTTTGCCACATAACATAGCATTTTAAATGAAAGAAAAGTTCATCAAATTTAACATTTAATGTAAAATTATTTAACGCAAACTAATACAAAATCGGATAAGCCGCAAAGTAAGTTAAAATGCGTATTGCGTGTTATTAATTCCTCTTCGTTTTTTGTTATTTTATAAGTTCATTAGTAATACTAACAATTAATTTGTTTTAAGTTTAGTTTAATTAAGTAGTTTATGCTGCCTAATGCGTACATTTAAGGTGCCTGTGAGTACGTGAACTTGACGATGTGTTTGGAAGAAGCACGTGGAAATGCTTCCCTTGCATTACGGATTTACAGGGAAAGATTTTCTACATCCAGCATCTGTCTGATTCTCGTACGATAATATATGTAGCTTTTCAGTGTTAGAAAATCACCCGATTGCTTCTTTGGTGGCTGGTGGGGGACGACCAGTGCATGTGTTAACGGTAGAACGTGCGTTGCGTGAACTGCGGCAAAGTTATTGAGGATGGCAGGACTGTCTCTCAGTGGACAGTGTCTAAAGTTTTACGTCGGAACAGAATGCGATCTTACAAAATTCATAAGGTGCAAGCTTTGAGACCTACTCATCAACCTCGTCGACGTGAATATTGTCGTTGGCTACTTGATCAACAATGACGCGCCTGGTGTCATTCGCTGGGATTAGCACATTATTTGGGCGGATGACTCCACATTTACAATAAAATGGCATGTGAATTAGAAGAAATGCTTACGTATGGTCAGAAGTAAACGTATATGCCAGTCAAGAGATCGGCCATCAGGTCCGATAGTCCATCAATGTTTGGGTTACTGTTTTAAATTATTACATCCTTGGGCCAGTATTTCTGCGGCGTCGACTCAAAGGACCTAAACTTCATCAACGAACATTAAGTTGATATGCTAGATGAAATACCACTGGCCGAGCTACAACGAGTATGGTTTCAACTCGATGGTGC